GCTATTTTCCCAACATGACATAAATTCTCTGACCTTGAGAAAGTTCAATAATCAGACCATGTAAAATGTTTTCCTAATAACTTTTGTTTTTCAAAAGACACCACTAAAAATGAAAAGGTAAAGAACAGACTGAGGGAAAATATTCACACAGATCTAACAAAAGACTTGTATGCAGAATAAAAAGAACTTCTGCAATGATTAGATGACATTAAAATGTGCAGTTTATGGCATGCTCAGTACACTAATAAAGCTATATAAAACAGACAAACATTAAAAAGAGAAATAGACATTCACAAAAGAAGATATACAAATAGTCAATAAGCACATGAAAAGATATTAGTCATTAGAGAAATATACAATAAAACCACAATGAGATACTACTACACAGCCATCAGAATGGCTAAAATGAAAGAGTGACAATTTCAAGTGCTGGCAAGGGTTAGGGTAACTGGAAGTCTCATACATTGCTGGGGGAATGTAAAATGGTGCAAACACTTTCTTATAAACAGTTTATTAAAAAGTTAACCATACACTTATTACAGGACCCAGCAAGAAGAAAGAAAACACAGCTCCACACAAAGACTTGTTCACAGATGCACTATAGCAGTTTTGTTCATGTTTGCCAAAACAGAAAACTTGAATGGCCAAAGGTGAATGGATAAGTAAATCATAGCATATCCAGACATTGAAACACTACTGAGCAAAAGAAAAAAACAAACTGATAAGAGGATGGGAGAGAAACTATTGAAGAAGGGAGGAAGAAAGAGGGGCAGAAGAAGGGAGAGGGGAGAGAGGGAGAAAAGAAATCCCTAGACACATTATAGTCAAACTGCTGAGCACCAAAGAATCTTAAAAGCAGCCAGAGAGAAAAGACGGACTTTTTACAAACAACAATTAGCCAGCAACAGCAAAGGGACCAAAAGACAGATGATTAATACAGGAACAATACAGAATTGCAAACCCAGATAAACCTATCATTCAAGAATAAAGATATTTAAGGTGCAAGAAACTGAAGTTATCAACAGATACTCATTGATGGAACTTCTAAAAGATGTATCTCAGGAAGAAGGAAAGCTTCAATGTAGAAAAAGAAATAGTGAGCATATTAAATCTACAGAGAGAACTATATAAAACGATGACAGTGTCAAATTGAGAGAAGGTTAAGAAATGAGGATATATAAAAGAACAGACACAAAAACGCTAATGGTAGAACTTGGTAACAAGTGGTAGGATTTTAGGCTTGTTTTACTTTCTTTTCCATGCTTTTATTATCTGATTTTTTAAAATCAGCCTGTCTTTTTACATTACCCAGCTTTAAGGGTGAAGTTTAAATTACTAAATTAGAATGAAATAGAAACAAAATTAAGTATCAAATTTTCAGATTCCCAAAACTGCAACCTATCAGTGCTAATAATACCAAGTTTCCCTTAAAAACTCCATAGACTAATTTGAAAGGACAGCAAGAGCTGGGTTTGCTTATTCACTCAACAAGGATTTACAAAGGGTTTGAGGCACTGTACTACATCCTGAATGAATAAACGCTGGAAGTCATAATATTGGATGTATAAGTCTTCTCTTATAATTGATAATAAGATGCCTTTATGGAAAGTATTTTGCCAAAAGTCTACAAGTACAGTGTAGTTACTCTTGTGGTAACGAATATTAGAATAGAGAGTTAAAGGAAATCTAGTTTGGCCTGAGACACTTTTTTAAAAAATATATGCACAAATATGACAGTTTTACATATGATATTAATTCAGTGTAAATGACGAATTCCCACATTAATTGCGAATCCTGCAGTTTGTCTATAATTTCCATCCCACATTAAAATAAGAAAACTGCAATTCTGAGTTAAGTTTACAGGTGGCACTGTGCATGCACTCAGTTTTAGTCACACTGGGTCAATAACAAAAGCTTAGAGCACCATATTTTAATAAGGTTTCGACCGTTCACTTTTGCCCAAAGTATCCACTTGGCAAAACGTTTTTAACTAACTCAAACCAGGGCATGGGCACCCTACAAAAGGTCAGTTTTTCCGATCTTAAATAAACATTTTGGGGGGCTTCCTGATTCAAAACAAAGGCTGCATCTGGCATGAAGGAACTGGACAAATCAGTATTTCAGGTAATCTAAATGGAAACTGTTTAGCTCCGATTTTCCCGGCCACGTGGATGTGGTTAAGGAGGCACTAGACAGAAAGGGGGCAAGAGGACTATGATCAAGTACCGCCACAGCATAAAGTCTGACCACTAAAAAGAAAAGGAGTCCATCCACCCCATCCCATTCAATACCAAGGCGTGGAGAGCCATTCTTTCAATGAAAAGCACCAAACAACAAGAGAGCCTTAAGAAGCTAAAACCCCACTCCCTCGCCTCCCAGGCAAACGTAACCAACACAGGGAATATCCATCCCCCTAAGGCGGAAAGACTCTAGCAACTGCATTACAGGATTATATGGGCGACTCTTCTCTTCTCTGTACTATCTTCAACTGGTGAGGAAAATGCAGTACTCAAAAATACTAAGCAGTTCTCTGCAATAAGCAAAGGTAGTTACAAAGGGTTTGTTTAAAATGCCCAGTTCACCGTGCTATCAAAACATTAGGCAAGTATAGTACCTACAAATCCGTATTTCCCTTATCCTCTGGGAAAATCACAATGCCATTTCTCCTGAGCTATTCAGCATGCGTAAAACAGGATCTTGTCTTTTATCTAGTGTTCTCTAACTCCTTTCAGGGTGGAAAAAGTCCTTTTTTGATGGTTATCACAAGCATTCTCATAAACATATATAATTTTCCAAATGAGTTAAACTCTTATGTGTTTAATGAGTATGAGCTCCACTTTTTAAAAAACTAACCCTTTCGATACTATTAAATATATTTAATTCCTATCTTTTAAAAAATCATTCCCTTGAACAGTTTTTGAAAAGCAAAACAAAACCCTTCATCCAGGTTCCTTGCAGTCTGAGGATAATTTTGAGATAACTTCAATAATCCAGTAAGAAAGTTGTCTAGGATAATTATTTTTAAATCTTCTTTGGTAGGTTTGGCTACAGAGTAACATTAATATTCTATTATGACCCAAGGAATAAATCCACCCCTATATCAACTCCAGGAAGAGAATACCAATGTGAAAAAAGGCTAACTTCAAAAGGATTCCCACAATGACGGAACTAAATAAACACCACACCCCCAACTCACAGAAGGTGGCAACATAGAATCTGTGCCCCCATGTGGACCCAGTTTCTCAGGCACCTAAAACAAGTAAGAGATTTTGGGAGGCACTGGGCTAGAAAGGCATCTACTCACTTTCTCTGAGAATTTCCTCAGTAAACCAGCTACTGTCCGATAATGCTTCTATTTATTTTACCCAGAAGCAGATCTATTAGCCAGACATTCTAAAAACACAAACGTTTCGTTGTGCTTGGAGTAACTCCAATATTGATGCCTTGCTGCAGAACGATGCTGCAGGAATATAAAGTGAGCCATGTGGTAGCTGTATCCACATATGAAGCTCATTGTCAGAAACTGTCATATCCTGGAGACCAACACATCAGAGGGGCTGAGGGTAAACCCCAGCAAGAGCGCTGTGGAATGAAGGAAGAAAGCCAAAGATGGGGAGACTTCACCAGGGCCCTGCCTCATCCCAACAACCAAGACGCTTTTTAAGGCAACTCTTCCTAAAGCTTTCAGGACCGAAAAGATCTTTCTTTTCCACTGGATAAGAAAAGCAAGACAATGCTGGAGGATGTTCTCAAATGGTCTGGCAAGTCACCACGTGCAAGGTACACTAAACACAACCCAATGCTAGGCCAGGGTTTGGCTCAGAAGATGCTGCCCGCTGGATGCTGGAGTGGGGGCCCAGGGGTTCTCATTGCCAGAGCCAGGGCCGAGGCTGTCAAACCTGGGAAACTGACAAGGAAAACAGCCTTAACAACAACAATAAAATGAAACTGCCAGAGGCCACTGGTACTCCCCAGAGTGAGGGAGAGAGGCAGGCAGAGACTGCTAAACTGTTCCAGATGAGACGCAATCTCTCCCACACCTCAACCGGCGCTCAGACACAAGGGTCCTCGGTTCTTTGTGAGCCTCAGCCCCCTCCTTTCTGGGGGACCCGACTCAATCCCCAATAGCCGCTGATCTCCGACTGCCACGGACGAAATCCAGGCTCGTTACAGAGAACTCATGTTTCTCTCTCTCTCTCTCTCTCTCACACACACACACACACATTCTCTCTCTCTCTCTCTCTCTCTCTCTCTCTCACACACACACACACACACACACATTCTCTCTCTCTCTCTCTCTCTCTCTCTCTCTCAGGGGTCCAAGCCAGATCACATAGCTAAAGTTTCCGGAACTTAAATCGTAAAACCACAATCATTAGTTGTTTTGAAATGCTAACCACAAAAAAATCCTTTGCTTTTAGAAGAAAAAGAAAAGGCAAAAAAATCACCCAAACTTTGCCCTCCATTAAGGCAAGCAGTAAAGAGAGACAAAATCTAACTTGGGCAGAGGGTGTGTTCCTCTTTGTCACCTACCGGGAACCTCGCGCGGCGCGTGGGCGAGCTGCAGGCACCCGGCGACGCCGTGGCATCCGAGCCAGCGGCCACCTCCCCGGCCCGCAACCGGGCTCAAGGGCCGAGATTGCGGCCGGAGGTCCGGAAGCGGCGTCCGGCGATGTCAACCAGCAGGGTGGGACGGGAGGAAGAGGGGGAAGGGCGCAAGGGTGAGAGGGAACGGGAGCTGAGCCCCGCAGCCCGAGGTCCGCGAAGGTGAGAGAAGAGGGTGCAAAGGGCGGCGCGGAGCCCAGAGGCTCCCAAGCTCCTGCCATTGTTGCCCGGACTGCCCGGGCCAGGCCGTTTCCTCCCTGCAGGACCCCGCGCTCCACGCACCCACCTCCGCCCGCGCCCCGGGAGCCCGGACTCGCACAAGTTGCCGCCAGCGGCCCGGACTACGCCGGCGCCCGCCCTCCCGCCGCGGTCATTGTTCGCTGCGCGCCTCCTACCTCCACGGCGCCGGCGGCTCCCACTCCCGAGCTCCGGGATCCGCAGCTCCCGAGCCCCCGGCTGCCGAGGGCGCGGCGCCTCCGGCTGCGCCTGCGGCTGCGGCGCTGGCTATTAATACCCGCGGGCGGCGGCGGCGCGGGCGCGCGAGCGAGGCTGGCGGTGGCCGGCCGAGGTCCGAGCCATCAAAGGTGGCGCGGGGCGGAGGGGAGGGCGGAGCAGGCGGGGTGGGTGGGGAGCGGGCTCCGGGTCGCCATGGCCGCCTCGACGCCGGGGTGAGCGCCACTCGCACGGGGAGGAGCGGCGCAAAGCGGGCGGCGGCCGCGTCTCCGCCCCGCGCCCAAACCGAGTGCCCGCAGCCGCTGCGTCCGCGCGGGACCCGCCGCCTCCGAGACCGGCGAGCGGGAAGTGCAGGCGGCCGCCGTCCCTCCCCGGGCCTGGGCCGGCCCCTCAGCTAGGGGAGGCTGGGCGCCGCGCCGCCCGAGCCGCGGGGACAGCGGGAGAGCCACAGCCCCCTCCAGCGTTCGCGCCCGCGACCTGCGCGTTGGCGCGCCCCGCCCCGCTCCGCCCCGCCCCGGGGGCAGGTGTGCGGAGGGGCGGCCTCCCGGGCCGGGCACACCGCCTGGGATCTGTGCCTTACTTGGGCGTGCCGGCCGAGCTGGGCTCCGCGCTGCGCCACCGAACCGAGCGCGGGAAGCGCCACCAGGGACACGCAAATCCTGCCGCTGTGCTGAAAAACGAAACGAGGAGGGCACGAGATGGGTGCACAGGCGAAACCAAGAGCAGCTGGCGAGTGATCAGTGCCTCGGACTCTGCAGGTCGCTTTTTGAGGCCCTGCATGGGGCAACTTCACCTAAGACGTCGCTCGGGGAGCGGCGCTGTGCAGGAACCCGCGAAGCCCGCCCCTCGTCTCCCCCGCCCCGAGCCACAAGCGCGGGCTTCCGGCACCACCCCGGCTGCGCGGGAATTAATCTGGGAGAAGCTATTGCGACCCCGCTCCCGCCCACGTCACGGCCCAGCGTCCTCCACCTGAGCGAATGCCTCGCCAATCCCCACCTCCGCCCGCCCTCTGGGGACAGGAACAGTGCCCCGCGAGGAAAGGCGGGGAACAGGTTAGGGGTGGTTTGCAGATGCCTGACCGCCTTTGGGGTTTCTGGAACTTGATGGAGCAAGAAGCAAGATTCAGAGCCAAGGAGGCAGGGACCTGAGGGGACAGTCACTGCCCCTACCTACCACCTGCCGCGTTTCTTTCTCCATCCCCGTTCCTACCCTCTCCTCTCTCCCTTTCGGCAAAAAGGCCTTGGCAGCAGCAAGTAACGCTCTACAAGATCCCGAGGCTACAGGGTACCTGTCTCTGAAGGCTGCTGGCTCAGAACCCTGGTCATCTTGCGCCTTGTGGGAGTTCACTGACGTCAAGCAGGGAGGGCAGATTTCACCGGAGGGGCTACAACTGAACTCACAGTTGAATAGGAGCTGGGCAGAGATGGGGCATAGGGGCCCTTGTGGAGGGACGGGTTGGAAGGTAGGGGTAGTAGTGGGTAGCTAGTGTGAGTAGTTTCTGGAGAGGAGCAAAGAGGTGCCTTTTTTTCTCTTTTTTTTTTTCTTTAGAGGGAGGGGGGATCTCGCTATGTTGCCCAGGCTGGTCTAGAGAACTCCTGTCGGCAAGCAGTTCTCCCACCTCAGCCTCCCAAAGTGCTGGGATTACAGTTATGAGCCATCTCCCTGGCAAGAGGTGCCTTTTGAGTGTGAGGCACTGAACTATTTTTTTTGACACCTGAGTATTTGGTGGAGGTAAAGAGGGCCATATAGTCCTCAGACTTAAGAAGAAACAGCGTAGTAGGTAGTTTGTGATTGAAGAGAAGAAATAGTGGGTTTGAGGCTTGGCTCTGTCAACCCAACCAGCTGTGTGGCTTTAGAGACATCAGAGATCAGATGTTTTCTGCCAGTGAGTCTCTGAGAGTGGTTCTTGGACCACCAGCAGCAGCACCTGGAAACTTTAAGAAATGCAAATTCTTGGGTATCATCCCAGAAGCATCAGAATCACCTGGCAGGCTCTGTCCCCAGAGTCTCTGATTCAGTAGGTTTGGAGTGGGGCCTGAGAATTTGCATCTCTGACTAGTACCTGAATAGTGCTGTTGCTCTGGTCTTGTGACCACACTCGGAGAACCATTATATTAGGGGAATGGGCCTCAAACTCATGAAGTCTCCTAAGATTAAAAAAATAACAACAAAGCACAATACCCAGGCTGCACCCCAGCCAAATATATAAAGATTCCTGAGGTTGGTACCAAGGCATCAGTATTTTTAAAGTTCTGCAGGTGATTCCAATGTGTAAGGCAGGTTTGAGAATAGTAATTGTAGATAGTGCTTTTTGAAGTCTATACATGAATCACCTGGGAATCTTGTTAAAATGCAGATCCTGATTCTGTAAGTCTGGGACTGTTTCTAACAAGCTGTCAGGTGATCTGTGTTTGCTGGTCCAAGGACTACACGAAGTAGCAAGGTGCTATGTCTTACTTCACAACTAAAAACAAAAAATTTTAGGAGACACAGGAAATTAGAAAAGTGACATTTTCCCAGTCACCTTCATTGGAAGACCAACATTTTCTACATGTTGTAGTGTTTCTTTCATCTTATTTGTATGTGTAGAATAAGGTTTGCTTTCTGCCCTCACCGGATTTGTGATCATAATACATACATAACATCCTATGCCATTTTAGTATCTCAAAATTACCAACATTTTTGAAGGTGATTCTTTTAAAAGAGGCAATCTGAGAGGGTGAACAGGCTGAGGGTAGGAACCAATGAGGAGACAATTAATACGGGAGAAGAGAGGGCAGGAGGAGCAGTCTGGGAACCCAGTTAGAGGCAGTAGAGGGAGGGCGACATTGCAGAACCTCGATGGTTTCCCTGTGGCTCTCGCTAACATTCTGCGGCTGGTACTTAATCTAACACAAAGCACTTTTTAAATTCCTCTCCCTGAAATGCCAGGGATACCTGGCCTGGAAAATCCACAACCTGGAAAAATCAACCCCTGAAAAATTGAGGCATTTCCTTGTCACTGTATGTCACTTATGCCTGACTTTCAAAATATAAAAATTTGTAATGGTCCTGGGTCCCCTTTTTACCCCAGGCTGTGGCATGGGGTTATTTAGAAATCTTTCTGAATTAAGTAATCACCATGTTCTTAACTCTTCCTTTTAATTACTAATTTTAACTGTTTTTTTTAACTACGAAGTGCGTGTCCATGGCGAAATAAAAAATTAAGCAGTATAGAAGGGTATTAAGGAAAACCTAGAAGGAATCCTTCCCTGCATCCCCAGTCCCACTTCTCAGAGGTAATTTTCCCAAGTTTGTACAGTCTTTCAGAAATTTTCTGGTCGCATACAAAAGTGTGTGTGTGGGCACAAATCTTTTTCACATTAAGAGATCACATGCACAGTGAAATGAAACTTTTTATTCCACAGTTACCGACCCTCCTCTAACAGCACATCACCTTTCTGCAGTCAGGGGGACCTGGGTTTGGGGCGATGCTGCTACTGGACATGACAGCCTGCACTGTTGGTAACTGAGGAAGCCTTCTTAAAACCCAAGGTGGGGAAGAGCTTTGCCTGTGGCATTCGTGGTGGGCCCTTCTGTGTCATCCCTTACCTTGCGTGTGGCCAGTGACTCGCTGCTAAGGGACAGAATACAGAAGAGGGAGGTGATATCACTTCTGTGATTAGGTGACGGAGCACTGTGACTTCCATCTTGCTAGCACGGTCTCTCTTACTGACGTGCTCTTGCCCTCTCATATGCTTTGATAAAGCGAGCCACCACGTTGTGAGATGTCCTGTGGAGGACCCGTGGCAGCAAGGAACAGGGGGAGACCTCCCGCCAACAGCTCATGAGGAAGTGAGGCCTTAGCCCAACACCCTTGGAGGCACTAAAGCCTGCCAGCAATCTCATGAGTGAGCTAATAACGGGATCTTTCCCAGCCAACCCTTGAAATGACCCCAGCATCATGAGAAATCCAGAGCTAGAGGACCCAGCTAGGTCCTTGACCCATGGGAACTGTGAGACGATAAATGTTGCTCTAAGCCACTGTGTTTTGGAGTAACCTGTTTTGCAGCAATAGATAACTAACGCAGCATAATGTGGTAGGAGGAGGAGTATTAAAAGAAGCAAGTTCAAAGTTATGCCTGCCTGGGAAGAATATGCATCTCCCTATACAGTTGGTAGGAATCAAAATCTTGGGATTTTGAGCTGTGCTTAATTTAGCAGCCCAGAATGGACATTTGTACCCTTCCTGGAGCCCTGCTACATGATTATGGGGCCAGAGTTAGCCCATTTTCATAGCAGTTACCCACTAATGGAACCAGCAGAAACTGATCTGCAGAGAAAGCAACTTACATGAAGTGGATACCTGAGGTTGGAGAACTTATGGGATACTAGAAGGGATGTTGAGATAAGACCTTGATTTTTCTGCAAAGAAGTTTCTAGACCTAAGAAGGGAAGGGGCAGCACTGGTGGTGACAAACTAGGTGGGGAAAAGCTTAAGGAGAGAGCGGGGAAGGTGGAGAATAGGGCCCCAGGGACTGTCGGTGTGGGATGCCTTTGGTTCAAAAGATAGTTGCATATTAAATTTTGGTAGATATTGCAAAATTACCCTTCAAAGAGACTGCAATAATTTATTCTTCCACTATAGAGGTTATAGGACATGGCCACAAATTTTTTGACACTCCTTCCACTTGCGGGGGGTTGGTTATGTCCCCACCCTTTGAATCTAGACAGGCTTGTGACTCTTTAGGTAAAGGGAGTATGGTGGAAGTGAAGCCATGTGGCTTTTGCGGCTAGGTCAGAAAAAGCCATGCAGCTTTTAACTTGTTCTTTGCATACACGTGCTCTTGGAGGCCTGAGCGGCCATGTAAGAAGTCCCTACTGTCCTGAGACCAGCCTTCTTGAGAGGCTCATTTAGAGATTCTCCAGTTGACAGTGCCAGATGAGGTCTTTCAACCGTCCCAGCCCCATGTCAGGATATGAGTGAGGAAGATATCTCAGAGGGGGTTCTCCAGCCATTCCAGCCACCACAGTCTTCTGGGTCATATGAGCTAAGGACACCATGGAACAGAAAAGAAGAATCACCTACCATGTTCTTTCCAAATTACCAGTCCACAGAATGTAATAAACTGGTTATGTAATGAACTGTAATAAAATGGTAATTTTAGGCCCTTAAGCTTTGCCTGGCTTGCTAGGAAGAAATAAATGACCAGAACACCCACTAACTGTGCTTGGGAATGCTTATTCTTCAACCCACTCTGGGTATTGGCAGTTTTTAACATTTGT